GATAAGGATTTTAAGGATAAATTTAGTAATATATGCAAAAAAGCAGTGTTGACATTCAGAAAATGTTATTTCCTTTCTTTAGATGTTTGACTGTTATTCCATCTATATCACTCTATGTTATTATTCAAGAATTTCTTTTAAATATCAAGTATTTGACAGGGTCTGTTGTATAGTGCCACTCAACAAATGTTAGTCAGTATTAAAATGATTGCTTTTACATTTCCACATCTTTTCTAATTCTGTTTTCCACAAAGTTCTTTATTTTAAATAGAAAACACATTTACTTCTGCTTTTAAATATATACTGAGAGTGTTTTCTGGAATGGACTAGTTTTTGTAGGGTCCTTCTCAGGAGGTGGAGTGAAATGAAGGAAACACAGCATTGTGTAACAGAAGAGTCGGATGGAAAGAACAGAGGCTCTTCTTGCCTATTTTTATAGAATTTAAGAAGAATTTTGAATAGTGATGTGCAGTCTGTAATAAATTGTTATGATATTGATATTTTTAGATTCACTCTCTGACCTTTTGACTGATCCATTTTATTAATAGTACACACTGATGTTCGGCCAATTTAACAATAATTGAATGTAATATGATGCATGAAATCTACTGTATGATTACCCTCAAGATGAAAATTTATTTTGTGAGTGATATGAAGTGCCCTGAAATAGAACTTCAGAACTTACCTTGAGATAAAGTTACAATGATGTTTCAATACAAGTGGCTAGCTGAATTTTCAAATACATTTTGAGGGGAATGCAATAAAATGTTCATTTGTGCTGCCTTTGAGTGATGCAAAAATAGCACATTGATGCTTTCTTTGCAAATAAGTGCTATTTGGTACCATTCTCCAGCATTTGCCTTAGGTGATATGTGTCATAATAATTACTCATGCCTTCTTACGTCAATGCCATGAACTGTTGTTACAAAACATCCCTTCTCTCTAAGTCATCTGATATTAAATGCTGTAACAATGGTGGAAAGCACACATATGTTCCACCACCGACCCTTCTACATACTTTAGTAGTTTAACATATGCACACTTTACGGAAGTGTCTCCTTGAAGGTGAGTGGGGAGCTTTTTGAGTCTAAGCATTATGGTTTTAGTGTTCTAGACACATTTTGTCTGCAACCTACACAGGGCTCTCCCTAGAATCTATTCCTGTATTCTGCTTAATGTTCATTGCTCTAGACATTTATATTTTAGTTATAAACTCACTATTTTCTCTTCATTCAAATATTAATAAAAGGAGACACCCCTCACAGTTGTTTATTTTCATATTTGGTATAGTCTAATATCTTCTTTATGAGCAGTGTTCTTTCATGATAACAGTGTGTTTGGAGTCCTGCCTCCTTAACTGATGCCCTTTCTTGTTCTGCACCATTGTTTAAGCCATTGGTGTAATTTAGAGTGTACCATTTAGCTTTGCGTTGATGGGACAAAATCCGTAAGATAAACAACTTAAAGGAGGAAGGGGTCATTTGATGATAGCTTCAGATGCTTCAGTCCATAGTCACTAGGCTTTGTTGTTTTTGGGACAGTGGTGAGGCAGTGTCATGATGGGAGTGCACACCTCATGGTGATCAGGAAGCAAAGAGAAAGAAAGGATCCTTTGTCCAATATCCCCTTTAAAGGCCATGCCTCAACAAGCTTTCTCCCACAAGGCCCTTTCCCATGAAGGTTCTACCACTTTCCAATTGTTCGCAGACTGGTGATCACACATTTACACATGGGCCTTTGGAGTATGCTTAAAATACCATTTTTGTTCCTGGTTTCCAAAGGCCTATGTCCATCTCACAGTTGAACATGCATTTAGTTTCTCTCCAAGAATTTCTGAAGTCAACTGTTCCAACACTGACCAAAAGTCCAAGTTCAAAGTCTTCTCTAAGGTTTAAAGAAAACTCAGCCACAGGCCACTGGAGAATAGAAATACAAGTTAAGTAATTTAAAGGTACAGTGGCATGAGCGTGAACATCAATTTCCAAATGTGGGGAGTAGGAGACTAGTAAGGGAGGCGTAGGCCAAACCAGACCAAAACCTAGCTGAACAAACATTGGACACTATAGCTCCGTGTTTGGCATCTGAGGGACATGGTGGTGTGATGTGAGTTCTAAACAGTTTGCCAAACCTTGTCTCTGAAACATGCTGGCAATAGCCTGCATGGCTGCTCTCTGGGTCAGGTTCTGCTAACTGCTGGTAGCTTTCAAAGTAAAGGAAAAAAAGGTTTACTTTGGTGTTTAGCACATAGATTTCTTGGGGACACTTAAGACCCAACCTATCACATTTGCTTTCTCTGATTTGTGTCCCTAGATGCAATGTCAGGTAGAAAGTTATTTATATCATGGCACATTTATTAAAACAATTGCATGAATGAGTCTTCTCTACCCTAAAGCAAGAGACAAAACTATTTATCACAGTTCTGTGTTACTGCAATTGAATTGTCAGTGTAGTGGTTTGGAGATGCAGGACCTTGAAGAGGCATTTTAGGACATGAGGGCTCGACACTTACACATAGACTCATGTGGTTATCTCAGAAGTGGTTGATGTTGACATACTCTGTCCTTTGGTTCAGTCCTCAACCTTTCTCTCACATACTTTCTTATTATGTGATGCATGTGGCCATGTTATAATGCACCAAGAAGATCCACAGTAGGTGTAACTTCTCTTGGTCTTTGCAGCTCCCACTATTTTGAGAAATATATCTTATTTATAAACCACCTAGTCTGTGGTATTCTGTTTATCAGTTATTCAGACACCCAGGATATCTTCACCTGGCTCCAGTTTCTTCTCGTACTACCATGTCTGTCTTTTTGCCCCACTATTCTTCGCTATAGCTTCACTAGACCTCTTCCAGTTTCTAGAATATCTTAATCATAATGTTGCTTGGGACACATCTTTCTTCTCCTTCTGTATTATTTATTTATCCTTTTTATTAGTTAGGATTCCTCAGATAAATAGTTCCAATAGTGAATGTGTATGTGCATGCATGCATGAAGAGGCTTGTTATAAAAAGGCCTGACTTATGTGATTATAGACACAGAGAAGTCTCATATTCTGCAATAACAAGCTGGAGGCATGGGTGATATTCCAGTACAAAACTAAATAAATCAAGCAGGTCAGCTGATGGTGTAGCATTCAATACCAAGTCAAGTTCACACAAATGAGGGAACTTATTCATCTAGAAAATATTCATTCAGAGATGCTTCCTTAATCCACTGTTTGCCTTAGTCACTGGACCAGGGCCATCACAGTGAGGAGGCCAATATGCTTTACTCAGTCTACAGCTCAAGTGTTCATGTTATACAGACTACAGAAACAACCAGATGTAGTGCTGAAACAAAACGTATGAGTAAAACATGGTCCGCTGGTGTGGGCATACTGAACTATCATTGCCTCCTAGTTACATTGTGAATGCACCCCCCAGATATTTTACATGACCCCCAAGTCCTGAGCAGATTGCATTGTTAGTATCTCATATGGTCCCAGAGAATGTGTCCACCCCTTATCCCTGTGTAAGATTCTACACCCACTTCTGCTTGTCTTGTTCCTTCATGTCCTAGTAATTCCTAACCTAGGAGTTATGCGTTGGCACTTAGGAGGTGTTCAATAAGTGTTCATTGAATGCATGAGCTGTTCCATTAACCTTTAACTTGAATTCTTACTAACATTAAACAATATAATTATTTTGGCTTGATTGCTTGTGTAAAGCCAACATTTACTCCTGGCCAATTACCGTTGAATATATATGTAACAATATTCAACATTCTGGTTTCATTAACTTTCCTCTGGGATTTATACACTAAACCTGTTCAATTCAGGGTTTGGATATTTTATGCTGATTAAAGCTGTGGCTACCTTGTTAGAATTCTCTTTGTTGCGCTCCATGAGGGAAAAGGATGTTCAATTTAGCTGTCTCGAATTAGAAAGTAGAATATGAAAGGAAAAGATGCTTCCGAATAAAACTGCCTCAGAATAGGAAGCCAGTGCTGTCTGTCTTTGTCCTTAGTTACTGCCTGATGCCCAGAGTGTTAGAAAACCACCTGAAACAAATACAGCTCAGAAACTGCCAGGCAGGTGAATCCTGATATGATAGAAAAATTTTTTGAGTCATGTGATGCTCATTTTGTATGTGAGGGTAACTGTCTTCACAAAGGATTTTAAATAGATTATAGATGAGTTGACCCACCAAGTTGATGGCAGAGTAGATCTAAAATTAAACCCACTATATTTTTTCTTTTCATAGTTTCAGAACATCTGCAAATGTCTTTCAATCCCTGATCACATATCTCCCCTGCTCCTTTTTAAATTGTTTCTGCTATGCCAGGTATATGCTCTGTGTTTTGCATACACAATATTATTTTATTTGTCTTCATTTTCTTCTTGTTGTTGTGATAAACACCATGACCCAAACCGCCTTTGTGGAGGGAAGAGTTTATTTGGCTTGCAGGTTACAGTCCACCACAGAAGAAAGCCAAGGCAGGAACCAGGGCAGAGGAATGGTGCTTCCTGGTAGCTTAATTCATTTTCCTATACAACCGAGGACCCTGCCAACACATGCATAGGGGTGGTACCACCCACAGTGGGCTGGATCTTGCCACATCAACCATTAATCAAGATTAATGCCCCATAGGCCAATCTGATGGAAGTAATTCTTCACCTGAGGTTTCCTCTTCCTAGGAGACTCTTGTTAGTGTCAAGTTGACAAAACTAACCAGCACACCAGCTTAATAAGGTATTGCTTTGCTCAACTGAGGAGAGAAATCTAGTCTCATAAAATAGCAACATTTTCCCAAGCTATATAGCTATGATGTTTCAAAGCCTGCACTGGCTTCTGGGTTTATCTGGTATCAAAATCCAGTAGACGTAAAACTGTAGTTTTAAAACACCCAGAATTTGCCATGTCTATTTAAAAGGTAATTTATTTCTCCATGTCATCCACAGGATAAACATTCTTTTTTTTTTTTTTTTTTTTTTTTTTTGGCATTTGGATTTGCATGCAGTGTGCCACATTTAGCGGAGTGTGGCTTTTCCAGAAGGTGGTTCGAAGACTCTTTCTTGCTTTAGTTGCTCTGGGCTCCTTCCCAGCCTCTCTACCTACAAATGGGCATAGATACCAGGGCAGAGCTGGAATTCAGCACGGCTGCTTCAGAAGAATCTTTCCTGGTGTACTTAGAACTTCGTGGATTGCTGGAGGATTGATGATCAGAAGGCTGCTTGACTCTCCTTCATCTTTGAAAGTAAGATCTGGATGGCAACATGCAAATATAAAGTAGAGAGGTAACATTTACTTTATGTGTTGATGCCTGTCTGTATCAGTTATTTTCTTGTTGTAGTGATAAAAAAAATCTAAACTTGACAAAAGCAAAAACAACAACAAGGGAACAACAGCAACAAAAAATCTCAAGGAAGAAGGACTTATTTTGGCTCATGGTTGCGAAGAGGTCACAGGCCGTCGTGGGAAGGAAGATGGGGGAGTTCTCGGGCAGGAGCATGCAGCTGGGACACTTCACATTTAGGGAAGCCAGGGAACAGAGAGCAGGGTGTTTGGTGTGCCTCTCCCCTTCCTATTCAGTATAGGTCCCCAGCCCACACCTTGGTGGGTGTCACCCACCTTCAGGGTGTGTCTTCCCTCCTCAGTCCCACCTCTCTCGAGATGCCCTCAGAGACACACCAGAGGCATATATCAAGGTGAGTCCAAAACTAGAGCAATGAGCTGAACCATCACAGCGTCTTAGCCCTGTTCACTGCCATATATAAAGTGAGTTTATGCATTCACTATTATGTCTCAGTTTTAATACAGGTGCTGTCTTTCTACTAATATTCTAGAGACTTCCCTTCCTTCCTAGTCACTGATTCACTTTCATCTTACTGTATCGGCGGTGCTTTCCCCCTTCATTGCTATTTCCGCATTTTCCTTCTTCTCCAGGACTGACAGTATTCCCTTCTATTCTACGAAAAAAATAACAATATATATATATATATATATATATATTCAGACTTCTGATTTGCTTTTAGAGTTCATACTTTCTTTATTCATTAATGTAAAAACCTTAGAACATATGGTCATCTTAATTTCTCCCTATTGGCTGCTAAGCAATATAATTTGCTTTGTTAAAAGAATTTTAAAAATATTTGATTGATTTTTTAAAAAATGTAACTTGGAATATTTGCATAATTATATAAATTAACCCAGTAGCGGAAATTGATTTCACTATTTTAGAAACTCCAAATATTCACAGAAACACTTACATGCTCTCTTGTTATATTTTACATCTATAGAATTAAATTTTTATTTGTAGATAGTAGGATCATTTTTAATATTGTAAATCATTGGTCAATTTATAATTTGGTCTGATTTATAATGCAAGATTTGTTAAGTTGATCTTTACGATAAATTAAATTATAGTAGAAAGATATTTTTAATGAAAATGTTGATAATCAAAACAGTGTTTTCCGGTCATGATAGGGATGTTGCACATATGAGCTCACAGAGACTGAGGGTGCATGTACTAGACTTGTATCCGATCAAGCTAGCCCAAATTCCAGTATGAATGGGGGTCAGGTTTCTGAAATTCCTTCCCAAAGCTAAGGGGTTACTAGCAGTTAAAAGCTGTTAGGAAAGGAAGAGTTAGTTTTCTTCAGGGATACTACCCCTGGTAGGTTGCCATACTCTATGGATGTTTCTGCACCCACCCACATAAATGGGTTCAATGGGTTAAAAAAGAGCACATGAAACTGGGGCTGGGGGAATGCTTGAGGAATTTAGGAGGAATTTGGGGAGAAATAGATTGGATAAAATCACATTATATACATACATTAAATTCTCAAATGGTAAAAAAGAAATGAATTTAAATATAGGAAGGCCTGCTTATTTTTTCTCTTCATATGTTCTTAGTCAGCATACAAATACATATAAAGACACATGCAAATATTCATACCCACAAACACATACACACTACTCTGCCCACTTTAACCAATATCAATTTTCTTAGTAGTTTAACTAGTGGGATAAAGGAAAGAAATACTCTATTTATGGTAAGCATTTAAGAGAATCTTAAAGACTTGGTTCTGAGGAGTGGAAAACAATGCAAAACAGGGCAGCAAAGTATTAGATTATTTTAGCTCTGAGAAGCAGAAAAATATGTATTTAAATACTACTTCTTGTAAAGAGTTTTTGTCTCTGTCTTCTGTAAATTTGTATCCTTCATTTGTGAATGTTTATATAATATATCCAGTAAATAAGTTTTCTGGAAGTATTACTACTTTCAACAGATGTAGTTTTTAATTTTATTGCTCCACATTTACATTAGAGCTTAACGTGTTTGCCTGAATGTTTGGCAGAGGAAAATATTTGTTTAGCTTTATGATTTTTGTTTTAAGCTCTGCCAAAGCCTGTCATTGACAAACGTGAACTATTGTCCTTATTTTTCTGATTATTGTGCTGTTGAGAATATGGCAAAATATGCCTGCATATAAATTTGATGATGAAGATGCAAGTTCTATTTACAAAAATATGTGCTTTTTATTCTTAAGTCTACTAGATGAGGAAATGCAAACCATTATTTCATTTTTAATACTTCATTGTCATTTTTAAAACTACCATATTTGTTTCCAATTTTTCAATTTCTTTAGTAAGTAAATTGACTGCTTTCAGTTATCTACCATGAAAATTAAATTCAACTCCAATATTGCTTTATGGAGAAAACCTAATAACTTCTGAGTATTTAATTAACTCAGTTGTATAAGGGTTAACCATCAGATATATATCCAGGTCATCTAAGGCATATAATAGTCAAATGGTTGCTAGGCAACAGATACCAGGTTCAGCTGATGTGTGTATCTAGGCAAAGCTTATGATGTGAAAAGAAGAACAAATTACATGATACCTGCATTTTTGTTATTATGCTTTTGGAAAATAAAGTCGTATTTAGAAAAAAATCTTGACATTCATTATTCACAGCATCTTTTTTCTAAATGTCAGAATGATACCACTTGATAGTTAAGTGATAAGGGGACAGTAAATTAAAATGACAGATGACATTTCATTTCTTATATGGTCTTAGATATGGACCTTTTATATAATCATGTTTTTCTATCTTGTCTGAAATTAATTAGGTTTCCTAAATTCATTGTGATTGAAATGCAGCCACAAATCACTGTTAATTGAAATATAATTAATTTAAAATACACACATTTCCATGCTACTGACAACTGGAAATTAAAATGACTTATATGACATGATCTAGGCAAAACAACAAAACATTTAATTAGTGATAGAGATGATGTTGAGAGAGTAACTCTTGGAAATCTAGGATGAAACTTTTCCTTTGTGATGGTCATAAGTATTGCTGCCACATGTAGTCAGATTAATTTCTATTGTCACAGCAATATAACACAGAAGCATTGATATAATAAGAAATATAAAGTATCCAGCATGATGCCCATCCTATGGCTATACACTCAAATCATGTAGTATTTTTGTCTTTGATTTTAATAATTCTTAATTACTGACATACAGGGAGTAGGTGAGAACGTAGGTTTGGGGCAAATGTTATGCAAAGTAGATGAATCTAAGAAGCGATAACCAAAGCCATTTAGTAGAAGGCTAGGACACAAAAGTGTCACTTGGATATAAGTTTTAAAACATATTTTTAGGGCAAACTTGAAAGATCTGATTTTTATCCCTGTAGGCAGAGTTTCTCTGGGTCTCAGCAGCCTCTCCCAAATATCCAATCAGAGACTTAATATTAATTTTAGATGATCAGCCAATAGCTCAGCTTATTACTAACTAGCTCTTACAACTTAAATTAGCCCATTTATAATCATCTACATTCTGCCACATGGCATTACCTCTCGTTTATCTTGTGCCTCCTGTTTCCTCTCCATGTCTGACTGGTGACCCTCTGATTCTGTCCTTCTTCCCAGTGTCCTTAGTCAGGTTCTCCTACCCAACCTTATTCTGTCCAGCTATTGGCCAGTCAGCTGCTTTATTAAAGCAATCACAGTGACATACATTTACACAGTGTAAAGTAATATTCCACATTAACTCTTGTTGTCTAATTAAAAAGGAAGGTTTTAACTTTAACATAGTAAAATGATATACAACAAAAACAGTTATTAAGTAAGAATTACAGTTACAATATCCAGTCCATTTGTATTTGGCAAATTTAAAGAAAATTCTATTTCTCTTATCTTTGTGAGTCTAAAGTTTTGTACTTAATTTACCTTTTTATCATAACTAAGGAAAACATACAGTATAATAAGTTTAACTTTAATTTGTATCAATAAACCCAAATCCATACCAATGTAATATATTTTCAGATTAATAGTTTTTTTGTATTAAAATAGATTCAATAATCTACTCTTTTATCTCATAATTTCTATATAATAGCCCCCTTTTCTTCTTTAGAGAGAGATCTTTGAATTTAACTCTTTTATTTAGGTTTTTTCTTGTCTATGATCAATAATAGCTTGTAACCAACCCCCCTTGATTGATGGCAAACATCTACAACCATCTTTTGAGAATGTAGGCATTGTATCCAGACTGCTTCCAGTTGTTTGGGGCATTGGCATCTTTGGGGGACTCTGAAAAAATTCAGGATAATTATTAAGTCCTGGATGGAGTAGTTTGTGAGGCTAGACCATCTCAGCCAGCAGTCTTGAAGCTGTTCTGGACGCAAAACTCTGAGGAAACTGCAACAGTGGCATTTTGAGATGCTGGATCACCTGGGCCATTTGTTTTCATTGGTATCTCATCCCCTTGGTCTGAAAATGCATAAACTTTTAAAAGTAACATACATTTCTGCATTAGTACAAGTATAGACTGTGTGTTGCACACAAGTTAGCCAAAGATAATTTTTTGTTTAGTGTTTGAGCAGGTAAAATATATGTCACACATTTGTAGTTTTTCTAGGTTTACAACTTTATGTTTGTACTCAGGATTTTTTGTGGGGAGGACTTCCTTGATCAAACCAGATCCATATCAACCTGGAATGAAGACATAGCCTCTCATTTCCTGTGGAAATAAAAGCATAACCTCTCCTCCAAAGTAACATATTTTTGACTTCCATTTTAAAGGCAAGACATTTTTAAAATATATAGGTTAGTTTAATATAGCAGTTCCATAATCCAATGTCTCTTAATAGCCAAAAAATTTAAGGACAACACAGTAACATACAGGATAAAGTTTCTCTGTGTATTTTCTACCTTTAGGTGGCTGTTTTAAAATTTTATATTGCTTTACTCCCTTTCCAAGGACTTTACTTTATTATTTGAAA